TGCCCGCTGTGGGTCGCGTAAGTCTGCGCAGGCGCAGCAGCCGGGGCGTGTCGGGCGTGGTGACGCAGGAAGCGCAGCGCGCGGGCGGGCCACGCAGAGCGCGTGCGCGGGGCCGGGTGCGCCGGCGGGTGCGGCGGGGCCGGTGCTGCGGGGCTGCGCGCGCCATGTCGGGGCGCTCGGTGCGGGCCGAGACCCGCAGCCGCGCCAAGGATGACATCAAGAAGGTGATGGCAGCCATCGAGCGCGTCCGCAGATGGTGAGGGCGGGCCCGCGGGGGGGGAGGGCCCCGCCGCCCGCGCGCAGCCAATCACCGTACCGCGGGATGCGACTCGGGAGTGCGCGCCCAACCAGCGGGTGCGGGCGGGGGGGCGGCGACCAATGGGAGCGGGGCGGTGTGGGAAGCGCCTGTGATGGGCGGTTGGTCCAGCCACTCACAGTGCGGGGGGCGGGGGGAGTGCTGCGCCGTGCTGAGCTGACGCTCCTCTGGGCCAAGCGGAGCGTGGCGGGATGGAGGGGTTTGTTGCCATGGTGGCCCAGGCCCGGTCCGGCCCGTCACGGTTGTGTCCCGCAGGGAGAAGAAGTGGGTGACGGTGGGCGACACGTCCCTGCGGATATTCAAGTGGGTGCCAGTGGCGGACAGTAAGGAGGTGGGCACCGCGCGTGGAGACGAGCCGGGAGCCACCGCCCACAGCCAGCCTAGCTCCCTTAACAACCCCCCTTAAGTTGAGCTCTGAGCCTCCCCCAGCCCTACCGACCACCGAAGCCCTCCGAGCCCCCCAGTTCCGCCGAACGCCACCAAACCCCCCTGAGTTCCCTCCAAGTCGACCCCTGAGTCCTCGCCAAGCCAGCACTCGAGCCCCCGCTGAGCCCTCCCAGCCCTGCTGAACACCTTTGAGGCTCCACCGAGCTCCTCCTGCCCTATCGAGATCCCCCCAGCGCCCCCAAGCCCCTGCTCCCTCCCCAAGCTGACTCCCAAACCCCACCAAGTCCCTTCTGAAGCTGCATGAGCCCCTGTGAAGCCTTCTTGGGCACCCCCCAGCCCCAAAGAGCCCCTTCAGCTAACCTGAGCCTCCCCTGAATTATCGAGCGCCCTGAGCTCCCTTGAGCCCCCTCCTGCTTCTCTCAAGACTCTCTGCTTGACTCCTCCAAGGATTTGCTTTACTCGGTGTCATTCCTAGATGGGCGTCAGCTCCTCCTCTCTCTCCTGATTCCCAGTCCCTTCATAGATGGAGTTTTGCCTCCCACTTAGTAATGTGCCCCCAAAGCCAAGGGAAAAGGCCAGCTTGAGCACATCTCTCTGGGCTTCTGGAGACAGAAAGGGGAATGGTTCTTCTGAAGCAGCATGTGTTTCTCTGACATTGTGTTTGTAATTTTCTTTCTCTCCTCAAGAAAGAGAAATCCAAATCTAGTAGCAGCACGACCCGAGAACCCAATGGCTTCCCAGCTGACACCTCTGCCAACTCCTCCCTCCTTCTGGAGTTCCAAGGTGCGTCTGGGCTGAGGTCCCTTCAACGTGGAGAAAGACTCCAAGGCTGTGCAGCAGCTGGGACATTGCTGGTTCTGTGTGCTGCTGGTATGGGGAAGAGCACTGCTTGCCCCTGAACACTGGTGTGGAATGAGAGCTATGAAGTTGAGCTGTGGAGTTGGGCTAATCCACTTCTGGATTGTCCCTGTCCAAACTGTTCATTTTTGCTCTTAGAGTCTTAATGGGCTGTTTCTGGTATCTTCAGTGGGAAGCTTCACAGCCAGCTGGAGGACTGGGGTTTCCTGATCCCCCCTTTCCATGCTCTGCTGGGGAGAGGCCAAGAGCCACGTGCAGCCAAGCTTGATTTTCCAACAGTTACTTCCATGGACCTTAGGGTGAAGGGGCAAAGGCTGTCCCTGGCCTTGCTCTTGATCTAGGCACTGTGGCGCAGCCAGGAGAGGATCCAGCAGTGCCAGACTCACTGCTGAAGTAGTGTGCACATCTGCCCAGCCCCACTCTGGGTGTGGCTAAGGAAAATCAGGAATTTGCTGGCAGTCCCAGGAGATGTGGTGGGGTTATGTTGCAGGTCTGCAGTTTGTCAAGGTGTGTGCCAGGCCTGCTTCCTCACTGGGAGACAGGTGCTGAGCATTAATCCTTGTGTTGCTTCACAGAGGAGGAACAAAACCATGGTACACAGCAGGAGATTCTTGCCCTTGGATGCCCAGGGCCCTCCCAAGTTGCAGGTGTAGGATTTGGCAGTGCTCATTCCCATTCCCAGGGCAGGAATATTCCCTCTCCCATGGCTAGTTGCGTATATGATTCCCACTGTGTTCTGGAGGGACTCGGCCTTGTGCCTGACAGCACTTAGGCTGATGTGGAACAGTATATCCCCTGTTTAGCTCTGACCATGCTCTGCCTTCTCAGCAAGACCCCAGCTTGCAGTGCCACCCTGGGCTGCCTGTACCCCTGCATTAAGGTGCTCTTTTTCACCAGGTGCTGTTTCTGCAGATGAGAACAGCAACCAGAGCTCCCTGTCTGATGTATACCAGCTCAAGGTGGACAGCAGCCCCAACTCCAGCCCCAGTCCTCAGCAGAGTGAGTCCATGAGTCCTGCCCACACGTCTGACTTCCGCACAGACGACTCGCAGCCTCCTACCCTGGGGCAGGAGACCCTGGAAGGTGGGTGCTGGGCGGAGAAGGGAGGAGGCAGATGGGTGGGCAGAGGGAAGGCCCCTCCAGGGCTGTTGGTGGGTGGCCTTGGCACTGCTAGAAGCTGACAGGGCATTGGGGACTTCTTTAGCTAGGTGTTCTGTCCTGGGTCAGCACTGACCTGGGTGCTGGGTCTGCATTTTTGTTGACCTACCTGTTCTCTCCAGAGCCTTCCCTGCCTTCCTCAGAAGTGGCAGATGAGCCTCCCACTCTCACAAAGGAAGAGCCAGTCCCCCTTGAGACTCAGGTAAGGGAAGGGGGATTGAATCCATCTCTAAATGTGCATGGACCCAGATTGGCCCTTTGACCATTGTTGCTGCTTCTTGTCGCAGAAGCATCTTACTGGATGGACTTGCTCTGCAGTCCTGAAGTGCCCCCTGGGAGCTCCCAGAACCTCCTGGTTTCGTGAGCTTTGGTCTTTATCCCCTGGTTCAGATCAAGTGTTGAAGTGTGAGGGAAGGATATGGGGGTGTGGGAAAATGACAATTCTGGCACACTCCAGGGCTGGAGTGGGTTCCCATTCCTGGTGCCCTGGGGTCTGTGCATAGGTGACAGCCTGGGCTGTCCCCATGGTGTGACACAGCCTTGTCTAGGTGTGCGTAACTCGGTGTCACTGCCTGTGACATCTGGCTCTTGCAGGTAACTGAAGAGGAGGAGGACTCTGGTGCGCCACCTCTGAAGAGATTTTGTGCTGACCAGAACTCTGTGTGCCACACAGCCTCGGAGAGCTAACCTGCCTGGCCCGGCACCTTCGCCAGCCCCTTGCAGAGCTGCCTGACCTCTCCAGGACCAGCGTTTCCCTCCAGCCTGCCCCTTCCCCAGCGTCGGGGCTCCCACCACTCACATCAAGTGCGCCCTGCCCTACCCTGCCCTGCCCTGCCCTTCCAGATGGATGGGGCTGCTGCCAGTACCTGCAATTTTGCCTCTATTTATTGGCTCCCTCTCTCCCTGCTCCCTGCCCTAGAGCTGGGGGTCTCTGCTGGGTGGGCTGCATGCATGGGGGGGTTCTCCATGGGTCTCCCTGCTCTCCATGGTCCCCAGAACACTGGCAGATTCTGTTTGCCTGCTTGTGGCTCCCCTGCCTGCCCTTCCCCTGGGTGCTGGAAACAGGAGAGCCACCTTCCACCTGCTCCGGGTGATGTATTCACTCGGTTGTGGGAGCAGGTGGTGGTGGGTGTGGGGGGCAGTGAGTGGGCGGCCGGCAGGGACCCACTGGGACGCTGTGCAATAAGCTGCTAGTTTAAGCCATTCATGCTGGGAGAGAGGGGAGCGCTTTCCCCTTCCCCCGGAGGGCAGGTACTGACCGGCCTCAGCTCTGCCTCGAGGCACAACTCCAGCCGAATAGAATTTGCAGTCCCCCGGGAGCCGCTGCCCTGTGCTGGAGGGCCTTGCCCCGGCCTAGGTACCCGCTGTCCCCGAGGTGGGAGAGGAATCAGCAGGGTGCTGGAGCCCCCGGGAAGTGCTCCCACCCTGGGGCTCTGCCGCTCCCCAATACCCGCTGCCCTCCCCAGCCCCACTCTCCTCCCGCTGCCACTGCATGTCCCGCCGAGTCCGTGATCGAGCCTGGTGAAGCTGGAGGCGCGGCCGCGCGTGGAAGTGGAAAGTTATTTTAGCACTGAATAGAATATTTTTAAAATTAAATTGTTTGAAATACAGATGCAGAGCACGATGTCGGCCGGGTGGGGAGGGGCCGTGCGGGAAGAGAAGAGAAGGGAAGGGAAGTTTCCGCTAAACGGGACCATGTGCCCGCACTCGCCGCCTACGGCGCCCACGGAGCCCGCCCGGAGCCCGATTCCCCGGAAGTTCGGTCCGCGCCCGGTGCCCGTTCTCCACACTTTCCTCCCTGCCGGTCGCCGGCGCTGTCTAGAGCGGGCGGGGGACAGCCCCGATCCCGAGACGAGGCGGCAGCAGCACCCGGCGGGACCGGCTCGAGGCGGGTGGGAGGGAAGAGGAGCCTGGGACGGCACCCCCGCCCTACGCAGCGGCTCCGACCACGGCCCCGGCCCAGGGCTCTGCCCGCTCCGCAGGCGCCCCCGCCCACCCAAGGGACTCTGCCCGCGGGGCGGGGCTTTTCGCCCTCAGGGACCGCGGGGGCCGGGAAAAATCGGCCGCGACTGAGGGAGGCGGGGATGTGCTTCGGACGTGACTTCAGGGCTGTGCTAGAGCGCCCAAGCAATTCCCATCATTAACCCGCGGCCTCCGCACCAAGCCCGCTCAGACCTGACTGCCCTTGCAATAAATTGTTTTAATTTTCACTTTCATTTTCCAATGTTTCCTTTTCCCCAAGTTTTCTTGGTCCCGATACCGTGTGTATGCCCTTCTTTGCATGTCCAGTGAAGGGTAGTGGAGCTGGGGAATGGTCTGGAGCACATTTGATAAGGAGCAGCTGAGGAACTTGGGGGGACTCTGGATAAAAGGAGGCTCAAGGGGGACCTGCTTGCTCTGCACAACTCCCTGAGAGGAGGGTGCAAGCAAAGTGAGGGTTGGGCTCTGCTCCCACAGAACAAGGAGTGGCATGAGGGGAAACAGTCTCGAGTTTTCTCAGGAGAGATTTAGGTTGAACATCTGGGAAAAGTTTCCTCAGTGAAAGGGTTCTCCAGCTCTGGCACAGGCTGCTCAGGCCAGTGGTGGAATCACCATCTGTGGAGGGATTTAACAGATGTGTAGATGTGGCACGTGGGGAGGGACATGGGTTAGTGGTGGCCTTGGCAGTGCTATGGGACCAGTTGGACTCCATAGCCTCAGAGCTTTCCTAACCCTAACAATTCTGTGATAATCATGAAGTGTTTTTGATAATATATCATTTCAGGATCAGGATGCCCAGCCAGGAGAGGCAGCTGCTGATTGATTTGAACACAAACTATCCTGATGTGTTGGTAGTTATTGGGAAAACACTTTTAGGAAAGAGTTCCAGAAAGAAGAAGTCTAGCAATCAGAAAACAGAAAAAGTATTTTCCATAGCAATGTGTGCATTGCTGAATTCAGGAGGAGGAATATTAAGAATGGACAGTGAGGAAAGAATTACTTCTTCTGGGAGGATGGCATTTGTGGAGACATAGAGACGAGCCTCAGAGATTGCACTAGCAGAAGCAAGGCCTCTGAATACTTTGCATGGATGCAGCAGGGGAGTAACCTGCTGCTTTTTGTTAAAACATGGAGCTGTGGAGGCCCAGAGATGGGGGGTGCAGCCACAAAGTTGCACCTCTGCAGCTTAACCACTGGTTTGTTTTATAGGGCCAGCATATTGGTTTATTCTGTGACTTCCAGAGAAGCTCCTGAATTCCTGAGGAAGAAAAACTGTGCCAAGTGCCACACTGAGAATGAACTGACCCCCAAGACAGCTCAGCTGAGTTTTGATGGGGGAGCAAAAGAGACTCCTCTGAACATCCAAGAGCACAACATCCAAAATGCTGTGGCGAGATTTATAAAGAAAGATGAAGTGCTGGTTGGGGAGGTCCTGGGTTTCACAGAGGCAACACATATTGAATTTAAGGAATGCAGTACAAAGAGTAGCTTGTAATATATCAGAAAAAAACCCTTCCTAAATACATCTCTGCCTTTGCAAACACTGAGGGTGGATTTTTTGGTGTGGATGACAACGGTAAAGTCACCGGGACCGACAGTAACATAGAGAAAGTAGCCTTAGAACAAACAGTAGCTGATGCCATTGGCTCAATGCGAGCCCATCACTTCTGTGGCTCTGGGGCTGGTGTGCAGATGCAAATGCACATCTTGCGTGTTTATGACCAAGCAGGCTGCTCACAGGGCTATGCCTGTGCCATGCACATTGAGCCGTCCTGCTGCCCTGTGTTCGATGATGACCCTCAATCCTGGATGGTGCTGGGCATTGTCAGGGAGGAGAGTGTGGGGGACTGGGCACTGACCAAAAGACTGAGCATCAGGAAATGGATGGAGTTCATGACAGCTGCAGACCCAGATAAATAAAACCTGCATTTATGTTAGTGTCAGCTTCATTTCCGTGTTCTGCTGCAAATGTTCAGGAGGAAAGATCAACTTGTTTTCAGGGTGTTCTCACCAAACCTAGAGAGGGACATTTGACCCATGCCCAGCCACAGGCACTGGGATGATGGTGCAGTTACTGGCTTGCAGTGGCATCCCTATCCCTGAACTCATTCAGCGGGACTTCTTCAAGCAGTACCAGTCATAGAATCATGGGGTGGTTTTGGTCGGAACACAACTGCCCACAAGACAGTGGGTTGCCAGGCTTCCCTTCATATGGAAAAGGGCCATCAGTTCATTGTCAGGCACTGTAATCCAAAAATGAGATTCTGCCTCCTAAATTTGTGAATATCAGAGGATTCCTTCCAGATGAAATCTGCCAGGCTCTGGCTGGCCTTGGACTCCTGAGGCTGTATCTCCACTGCCTCTGAGACAGTGGGTTGTGAGGCTTTCCTTCCAATGGAAAAGAGCTAACATTCACAGTCAGACTCCTAGGGCTAAAAGTGGGATTCTGCCTCCTAAAATTGTGAACGTTGGAGGATTGTTACAAGATGAAAGCTGCCAGGAGTTATGGCTCTGGCTGGCTTTGGGCTCCTGGGGGCTGCCTCTGAACTGCTCCTGAGACACTGAGTTGCTGGGTTAGGTCCAGTTGTAAGGGGTAATGGTTAGGGTAGTTAAAAATGGTAACTTTTCTTATATTTTATACATATATATAAAATAATTTTTATAAAAATTGATTTCCAAATACAAGCCTTTATTTACTGTTTTATATGCAGGATCTTAAGAATATAAGGAATTCTAAATACAGATATATAGGGTTTTTGAAAATACAAATGTAACTTTTCGTATATATATTTTAAACAAGAAAGGGCTTGAAAAATGGGAGAAAATATGATCTCTATGAGGGGAATAGAAATAGCTCTGTGTATTCAAACAAAAAGCATTTTTGTGCGTCACTCAAAGGCTGAGATCTTGGTTGGTACTTAAATCGCTGCTGCCACCTGGTGACAAGTATGAGGTACTGCGCATATATGCTGTTTAATGACTCAGTAGTGTCACCTGCAGAGTAAAAGCGGTACTGCAACTAAGAAATGTTGCATGTGCCATGACTTAAACGACTCGCTGCGGCCACCTGCAGCTAAAAAGCGGTACTGCAGCTAAGAAACGCACACGCGGACGGTGAGTGACTTGTCGAAGTGTCACTGTGGCGCTTTCCATGTCTGCCCTTGCCTCCTGTTGGCCCTGGAGAACACGTGGTGCCTGGGAGCACCAGGCACGAGACCCAGCTGCAGCGGCAGTGGCTGAGGAGATTTGTAGTGAGCCAAGTGAGGAGAGAGGGTTCTTGCCATGTGCTGTTGGGCTTTGGCTGCAGGAACTCACATGACTTGAAGGGCTTGGAATGCAAGCTCTGTGAGAAACCACTGAGGGAGCTGGGGTTGTTTAGGCTGGAGGAAAGGAGACTCAGAGGTGACTTTATCACTCTCTACAATTACCTGTGTTATGAATGTTATGAGCCTATTTGTCCAATTCAAGAAACTACAAACTTAAAATTTAGCAGCAGTTTTAATTGGGGTCATCAATTTTAATTAAGATGAAATAATACAATCAGATATAATTCACTGTTCAGATGGGTTGCCAGGCTTCCCTTCATATGGAAAAGGGCCATCAGTTCATTGTCAGGCACTGTAATCCAAAAATGAGATTCTGCCTCCTAAATTTGTGAATATCAGAGGATTCCTTCCAGATGAAATCTGCCAGGCTCTGGCTGGCCTTGGACTCCTGAGGCTGTATCTCCACTGCCTCTGAGACAGTGGGTTGTGAGGCTTTCCTTCCAATGGAAAAGAGCTAACATTCACAGTCAGACTCCTAGGGCTAAAAGTGGGATTCTGCCTCCTAAAATTGTGAACGTTGGAGGATTGTTACAAGATGAAAGCTGCCAGGAGTTATGGCTCTGGCTGGCTTTGGGCTCCTGGGGGCTGCCTCTGAACTGCTCCTGAGACACTGAGTTGCTGGGTTAGGTCCAGTTGTAAGGGGTAATGGTTAGGGTAGTTAAAAATGGTAACTTTTCTTATATTTTATACATATATATAAAATAATTTTTATAAAAATTGATTTCCAAATACAAGCCTTTATTTACTGTTTTATATGCAGGATCTTAAGAATATAAGGAATTCTAAATACAGATATATAGGGTTTTTGAAAATACAAATGTAACTTTTCGTATATATATTTTAAACAAGAAAGGGCTTGAAAAATGGGAGAAAATATGATCTCTATGAGGGGAATAGAAATAGCTCTGTGTATTCAAACAAAAAGCATTTTTGTGCGTCACTCAAAGGCTGAGATCTTGGTTGGTACTTAAATCGCTGCTGCCACCTGGTGACAAGTATGAGGTACTGCGCATATATGCTGTTTAATGACTCAGTAGTGTCACCTGCAGAGTAAAAGCGGTACTGCAACTAAGAAATGTTGCATGTGCCATGACTTAAACGACTCGCTGCGGCCACCTGCAGCTAAAAAGCGGTACTGCAGCTAAGAAACGCACACGCGGACGGTGAGTGACTTGTCGAAGTGTCACTGTGGCGCTTTCCATGTCTGCCCTTGCCTCCTGTTGGCCCTGGAGAACACGTGGTGCCTGGGAGCACCAGGCACGAGACCCAGCTGCAGCGGCAGTGGCTGAGGAGATTTGTAGTGAGCCAAGTGAGGAGAGAGGGTTCTTGCCATGTGCTGTTGGGCTTTGGCTGCAGGAACTCACATGACTTGAAGGGCTTGGAATGCAAGCTCTGTGAGAAACCACTGAGGGAGCTGGGGTTGTTTAGGCTGGAGGAAAGGAGACTCAGAGGTGACTTTATCACTCTCTACAATTACCTGTGTTATGAATGTTATGAGCCTATTTGTCCAATTCAAGAAACTACAAACTTAAAATTTAGCAGCAGTTTTAATTGGGGTCATCAATTTTAATTAAGATGAAATAATACAATCAGATATAATTCACTGTTCAGATGAAATAATACAATCAGATATAATTCAGTAGTTACAGAAATTTGGGAGTGGTTCGGATAAAGCATAAGCAAAACCGATTGGGGTACGGGAAGGACTTCCCACCCTGCCTCACATACGAAGGCAAAAGGATCCAAACACAACTTATATACGTGTGCTTATATGTGTGCTAATACATATTCATTGTTAGTTTCCCATAAATCTCCTCCTGTTTTTGGTTCTTGAAATCAGTGTCACTCTACTGCACAGTGCATGCTACCATTGTTTCCAAGGGGTCTTCTGGCTCTTTGGTGGTCTTCTTGGAGGAAGGCTGATGTCTTCCTCACATGCCCTCTTGATAACCAGGCAGGTGGCACATGCACATTAAACTTGGTGTTATATAAGTAAGCACTGTGTTCCGATTAAACCTTATTTATTTCATAGATAAGACCACTATTTTAGACTTCCTGTCTGGAATTGTCCCAACTTTATTCATATTCAAGGTCGCTTTTTGCTCTGGAATTTGTCTTAACATCAGTTGATGCCAATTTTGGTTTGGCAGTTTTCCTCCCAAGGCCATTTCTACTTTTGAATATTCTGCTTATTCCAACATGACATCCTATACCTGGTTTCTCACAAGAAACATCTGTAAGGGAGACCTTCTGCTCTTTGATACTGATCACATATACTTCTTATTATTATTTTCCCAAATTATTGATATAATTACAATTTTTATTAGCACGAATCACATCCATTTGTCACACCTGGAAGGTGGTTGTAGATGGGGGAGGGTAGTCTCTTTTTCCAGGCAACAACTGACAGAACAAGAGGACACATTCTTAAGCTGTGCCAAGGGAAGCTTAGGTGGGATGTTAGGAAAAAGTTTTTTACTGAAAGACTGATAAAGAACTGAAATTGTCTGCCCAGGGAGGTGGTGGAGTCACCATCCCTGGATGTGTTTAAAAAAGATTGGATGTGGCACTCAGTGCCATGGTTTAGTTGAAGAGATGTTAGGGCATGGGTTGGACTAGATGATCTTAAAGGTCTCTTCCAACCTAGTGATTCTGTGATGATAATGTGCTCAAGATGGTAGAGGAGCCAGGAATTGACATCAGTCCATTCTCAAGATGGCGAGCATGACAGGAAGTCACGTGCCATAACAGTTATGATGGTGGATCCAGAACAAACTTGTACTGCTACTCTCAGGATGGTGAGGATTTACCAGAAATTGCATCACACCACATCCAAGATGGCAGTAATGGCCAGAAGTCACTACAGGTACACTCAAGATGGTGGCATGGGCATGTGAGTCAAGATGTCCTTCCCAAGATGGTGGCAGGCTAAAAATGAACTTTGGGAAAGAATGCAAAATTGCATTTTGGAAAGACATCTCTTCTCAGAAAGGGGTTTTCCAGCATGCTTGAGCACAACCTACACCTCGATCTCCAGCTTGCAGTGCAGTATGGCTTGCAGTGCTTCCTGGTGTGAGGACAAGGGTGGTGGGGCAGTGGTGATGGAGAAGGGCAGAGGGTTAGGGTAAGAGGTTAGGGTTAGGGGATAGAGTTTGCAGTTGCCACTTGGTTCCCAGAGATTGCATTGTGTCACCGTGGTCTCCTGAGTGCCATGAGGTATTCCTATGTTGCAATGGACACTTGCTTCTATCATATTCCTTTACAACACAGTGGCCTTCTGGGTGCCCTGAGGGCATGCTTTGAAAAATGGAGCCTTGTTCCTACTAGGCCTGGCAATGTCCCAGGGACACCTGTTGCCCATGATGTCCCACTTAATCAAAGTAGATCCTTGAGATTCCATTGCATCACAATGGTCTTCTGACTTCCATGAGTCTCTGCTGTGTTACAATGGACACCTAGTTCCACCTTCCCTGGCAGTACACAAGTGGAACCTGTGTTCCATGAAGCCCTGTGTTGTTCAAAATTTCAATTTTTTCCCCAAGACTCGATTACATCACAGTGATCTCCTGGGTTCCATGAGGCCCTGCTGTGAAA